TGTTACCCACATTACTAATTTTTTCCATTTTACTAAACCGATAAGACACTGTCTTTAGGTTGTATCGACTTGCTAAAGTACCACGTTACTACTGACGACACTATTTGTATATTTCTGTGCGAATATTCTTCACACAAGTAGAGGCGCGATGGTGATCAAACTGAAAATTCACCCATGGAGTAAGCGCCTTTGAAGACGTTTACGAATGTAGAATGATCCAGCTTATATTTTAAGCAATTAGACATTTTTTCCAGCGAATAGAATTTTATGCAGCATCATTTTATGAAAAATCCCTCAACACCCACAACGTTATTGTGGATCCTCGCGCCTCGGAACGCCCGCAGGGTCGACGTCTGTGTGATATGAGGTGTTTTGGACTTAATTTTTTCTTCTGTTGTATATATTACGTATATAACAATCAAGAACATTTATAATGAGATTTTCTTTCAGGTATAACCACTTAAAGAAAATATTTTTAATAAATACAAATTTGTTGCGAAAATAACGTGTGACCTCTTTCGATTGCAATTTAAAGTCTTTGCTTGTCGTTGGGTTTCTCTATAGGCTTACCTTTGGTGATATACTTTATCAGTATTCTTTGAAACTTTAAAATCTTGTGGATTTTATTCGTAGTTTTCTAACTGCTAAAACTACAATGTTACTCAGACTAAGAGAAGATACCACGAGTTAAAACAAAATGTATTAGAAATATTTGTTTATAATATTTATGAGGTTTTAAGTCTTTTTTAAATGTACCACATTGTAACCTAAATCAATTTAGGCATGCGAATAAGATATAAACATTTGATTGTTTGTTTATCTTAGAGCAAAGCCACTTGGAGCTAGTTGATGTGTCAACAGCGGGAATGGAACCTCGGATTTTAGCGTTGTGAGTTTGTAAACTTAACACTGTCCTACCGAAGGACAGCAAAAACATATAGTTCTGACATAATTCATGTCTGGATATTCAATATCAGAGTTTTATAACTTTTCCTGCATAAATGCGTTGTTGCAATTATAATTAACTTACAATTCATTGGGTTTGATCCAGTGCTCGAACTGAAACTTCTTAACAAAGGAAACTTCTAAAATATTATGAAAAAAAAAAGTATATTGCAATGGTGCTCTCACACACATATAGCAGCGTCTGAAATTCACAAAAAATTCTAACCGGTTCTTATCAGGTTTAACTGGTACACTACAAGAACATGTATATGTATGTTAATTTCATTTTATCAATTGAACATGTGAATTTTTTAAGAAGGACACAATTGTAACATTAAACAGACGTTTAATTAAAAACAATCGTTTTTTTTATTATATCACTCTTGGAATGTACATAATCGTTATATTAATCCAGATAAACATAAAAAATATTATTATTTTAATACTGACCAAAATATAAAAGATTTCTCCCTTGAGATATTAATATTCTTCACACTTCGTTTGAATCAACTACGCCACAAACCTCCTTTTCGTTTCAGACGTCATAGGAATTTCCATAGAGTTTAAAAATAGTTCAGGGATCACCAGAAAGCTAGAAGGCTCCATTTGGGAGATTGGAGTAAAAAAAAATACTTTCACGAGACGAAAGCACGATTACGATTTAAGGAAAAAAGTATGGAAATATAAGTTTGATAACAAGGTAAAATGGGGAAAATGCTTTAAACTTTAATATCGGGCCGATAGAGCTTTTCTTTTTGTAGTTATTCTAATCGGCTTACAGGCCTCCTACCCGGTCAGGGCAATTTTGGACCCCAACATATAAATATACTGTGAATTTAATTACCTCATTAGTAAGTCACTAATTGCATTAAAAGTAAAATTTAACAATACATTTACATAAAGCAAACAAAAACCACTTTTAACAGTGGGAAATGGAAATAATTTAGTTTGAAGTTGAGCACAAAACAACACAATGGGCTGTCTCTGCTCTGCCCACCACGGGTATCCAAACCCAGTTTCTAAGTCCGCAGATATACCGCTGTACCACTGGGGGACATGGAAATAATATTTGCAACAGTTAGAAAGAAGTACAACTGCATATATGTCTTTTTATTTATTTATTGAAGCTAGGTCAATCAGTAAAGTTATGTTTTCGAAACGTTCTTCCATGTGCATTCTTTTATTAACAAGGGAGATGAAACCGATATTTATTTTAACACAGACAAACAATCTCAGAGTTTTAGTAGTATATCGGTAATAACGACTTTATTGCCAATGTCCTTCAAATCTGTAAAAACTTGATACAAACGCGAAATAAATTGTGGAATATCACAATAGCAGATTACGTTTTTCAGCTTGAAAATATATAAAGTATTGACGTGAAAAACTTGTTAAACAATTCTTGCAATGTGGTCTTTAGGTACATTGACGTCCAACGAACAGCAAATGAGGGGGAAACTAAAACACTATTACATAAATAGAAGACAAAGAATAAAGTCTTAACTCAACTGACTAATCTCTAGGAGTTCTATGGAGAATATATAATATTCTCGTACACTGATATCCTACAGAAAAAGAACAATTGTGGTGTTTGCAGATAATTTGATTTCAGCGCAAATATCAGATAGGTCCGCTATATACTGAAAGGATTGGTCAGGAAAATTGTGAATTACATCTGAATTTATCTAAACACAGAATTTTACACATGATGTAAAGTGAAACATAATCTTTATTATAAGGAAAGAAACACAACGTGTGTAATTGTATGAATTCTGGGCAGTCGCCTTCCTACTGCAACATTGAATCAAGCAACAATAATTATTATATTCCAGCATGAATCCTTCTCTGTGACTGACGGAGAACGTATCACGTGGCATGAATATTACGCGATTACAAGGACCTTGCCATGTGTGGGTAATCTTGCAGCAGAACTTTGCAGATCACACTTTTCTGCAGCTGATTTAATCAGACTTAATTACAAGTAATTTGCCCAAACCCATAAAATGAACACGGATATATCTTATTATGTAAGGTTTCAGTTACTCGCTGATGATTTTTTATTGTTAAGTTATAAAATGGGTTATCTGTGCTCTGCCCTCCGTAGGTATCGAAACATGTTGTTTTTGTTATAAGTTATATATATATATATCATTTAGTATTAACTCAGATTTATTTATGACTTTAGGGTTAAATTAAATTCATTGCCAGATAAGTACAATATTTTTTTAAATAACCCTAAAGTCATAAATAAATCTGATTTAATACTATATGATAAAAAGATTGATGTTTTAAACAGAGGTTTAAATTTCTCATTTGGTCCAAATAAAGGTTTTAAAAAGATATCATAACTGAAATTGAGACTAACTTGAAAAAATTAAATGATGAAAAAGCGCATATTATTAGAAGTGAATGTTGCACTTTATTAAATAATTTCAAATTCGAAAATAATAATAAAAAAGACTTTGAAATTTTGAAAAATTTAAAGAAACAAGATATTGTCATTTGCAAAGCTGATAAAGGGGGACAAACTGTTATTCTTAATAAAAATGATTACGATTCTAAAGTTGAAGACATTTTGAAAGAAGGTCCGTATGAGAACATTAAACTTAATCCTGTGAATAAACTCCATACAATAGTTAAAGAAAAAATTAAGAGTTGTTTAACTCTAACACTTTATGAAAAGCAAAGTTTAATTCCCAGTAACTTTATTTGACCTAGATTATATGCCTTGCCTAAAGTTCATAAGATTGGTAATAATTTCAGGCCTATTGTATCCAATATTAAAAGTTCAACTTATAATGTAGCAAAATTTATATCAAAAAAATTCTCATTTTTAAGGGATAAAAATTAATACACAGTTAAGAATTCGTTTGAATTTGGGGAAATAATTGAGCATATAATTTTAGATGAAAAATATATTTTGGTGTCATTTGATGTTGTGTCAATGTTCACCAAAGTACCTGTGAAAAAAACTATTGAATGTTTTGAGAAAAAAACTGAAATAAAATAATAATTCAGTCTTAGAAATAATGGG